GATTTAAGTAACAATTGTTTTCTCCGTGGAGATATCCCTTATCAACTTGTAAGCCTTACAAATTTAAGGTATCTTGATCTCAGTTATAATAATCTTGATGGGAAAATCCCTTGTCAACTTGGAAATATGTCACAGTTGAGATACCTTGGTCTCAGTGCTAATTCATTTTCTGGAGCACTCCCTTTCCAGGTTGGGAATCTTCCTTACTTGAAAACTCTTAGACTTGGTGGTGATTTTGATGTCAAACCTAAGGATGCAGACTGGCTGTCTAGTCTCTCTTCCCTAACACATCTTGCCATAGATGGTTTACACAACCCTGACTGGTTGCATATGATTCATTATCCAAAGCTAGGAGAGTTGAGACTAGTTCATTGTTCTCTTTCAGATACTCATATTCATTCTCTATTTTATTCACCTTCCAACTTTTCCAATTCTCTTACCATCCTTGACCTTTCTTCTAATATGCTCACATCCTCAACATTTCAATTATTGTCTAACTTTAGCCTTAATCTTCAAGAGCTTTATCTTTCTCATAATAACATTGTTTTCTCATCTCCAGTCCACTCAACCTTTCCTTCTCTCGTGATCCTTGACCTTTCCTATAATAAGATGTCATCATCGGTCTTTCAAGGTATCTTCAACTTCAGTTCAAAACTTCAAAATCTTTATTTGCAAAATTGTAGTCTTGGGGATGATAGTTTTCTCATGTCAGCTATTTCAATTACGAATTCTTCGTCTTCTCTTGTCTCGCTTGATCTCTCCTTTAATCTATTGAAATCATCATCCATATTTTACTGGCTCTTCAACTCCACTACCAATCTTCGTACACTTGAACTTAATGACAACATGTTGGAAGGTCCCATTCCAGATGGATTTGGGAAAGAAATGAACTCTCTTGAAGTTCTTTGCCTCTTTCGGAACAAACTGCAAGGCGAGATTCCATCTTTCTTTGGGAACATGTGCACATTGCAGAGTTTATACCTCTCAAACAACAAGTTGAGTGGGCAAATTTCTAGCTTCTTTCTAAATTCATCATGGTGCAACAGACACGTGTTTCAGAATTTGTATTTATCTTATAACAACATTACAGGCACGTTAACTATGAGCATTGCATTGCTATCTGAGTTGGAGGGCTTGCTTTTGGATGGAAATTGCTTGGAGGGTGATGTCACTGAATCCCATCTTTCAAATTTTTCCAAATTATGGTTCTTATCTTTGTCAGATAACTCCTTATCTCTAAAAATAGACCCTAACTGGGTTCCTCCTTTTCAAATAATACATTTGGGACTAAGATCTTGCAAGTTGGGTCCTAGCTTTCCTAGTTGGCTCCAGACTCAACGCTCTTTAGTTTCTCTGGATATTTCTGATAATGGGCTTAAGGGTTCAGTACCAAAATTGTTTTGGAACAACTTGCAAAATGTTGAATATTTGAATATGTCTCAGAATAATCTCACTGGTGCAATTCCTAATAATATATCATTCAAGCTTTTCAATATATCGTCCATATTTCTGAATTCAAATAATTTTGAAGGCAAAATTCCGCAATTTTTACTACAAGCTTCAAACCTGAACCTTTCTGACAATAAATTTTCAGATTTGTTTTCATTCTTATGTGACCAACGCACATATGCAATGGTCACTTTGGATTTATCAAACAATCAATTGAAGGGACAACTCCCAGACTGTTGGAAATATGTTGATAGGTTACTGCTTCTTAATTTAAGCAACAATAAATTGTCAGGGAAGATTCCTGTGTCCATGGGCAGCCTTGTTGAATTGGAAGTCTTGGTTTTACGAAACAATAACCTGACGGGTGAATTAGCTTCCACTTTGAAGAATTACAGCAATTTAATTATGTTGGATGTGGCTGAAAATATGTTTTATGGCCCAATACCATCATGGATAGGAGAAAGTATGCAGCAATTGATAATCTTGAGCATGCGAGGGAATCACTTCTCTGGACATCTTCCTATTCAACTCTGTTATTTGAAGCACATTCAATTATTGGATCTTTCGAGAAATATGTTATCAAAAGGAATTCCATCATGCTTAAAGAATTTGACTGCAATGACTGAAAAGAACATCAACACAAGTGACACTCGAAATCGTATATATTGGATGAATATCATTTATTTTGAAATGTATACCGTTTATGGTAGGAAAAATTACACCCTGAGCATAAGCTTGATGTGGAAAGGTGTGGAACAGGTGTTCAAGATTCCAGAGTTACAGCTTAAGATCATTGATATTTCAAGTAATAATTTAACTGGTGAAATACCGAAGGAGATTGGATATTTGGTTGGGCTAGTTTCTCTGAATTTATCAAGAAATAATCTGAGAGGAGAAATTCCTTGTGAGATTGGGAGTTTAAGATCACTAGAGTCCATCGATTTATCAAGAAATCATTTCAGTGGGAAAATTCCTTCTTCTCTTTCTGAAATTGACGATCTGGGGAAACTAGACTTGACACACAACTCTCTTTCAGGAAGAATTCCATGGGGAAGACACTTTGAAACCTTTGATGCGTCTAGTTTTGAAGGAAACATTGATCTTTGTGGTGAACAACTCAATAAAAGTTGTCCTGGAGATGGAGATCAAACAATAATAAAGCTTTCAAAAGCTGAAGCAACCAATGATGATGAAGATAGCTGTTTCAATGAGGCATTATACATGAGCATGGGGATCGGATACTTCACTGGATTTTGGAGCTTAGTAGGGCCAATGCTACTTTGGCGTTCTTGGAGAAATGCTTATCTGAGATTCCTAAATAAATTGACAGACAGTATATGTGATCAGTTGTATTGAATGTGACTAGAAAAAGGTATGCTTGTATCTTCTCCTTTTCAAATTCACGATTTATCTGCTGTCTTAGTTGAATGTAGTATGTTATACACAAAAAATATGGATTCTTGAGCGAGAACATTTAATGTGTACTCTCTTTTCTCCAATGACCCCATTTAACCTAATGTTTAATAATTAATATATGATACTCTGATATTTCATATTGTATTTGTATATGATATTTTAAGACATTTTATTGATATTTATTAATAAAATATTTAATATATAAAGCATAATATTTTTGTTATCACGATCATTTATAATTTTTATATTAAACAACTTCATATTCATATATATATATATATATATATATAT